TGATTTACATTTTTTCCTTAGGTGTAAGGTCAACCCTGTAACGTGAACGTTAAGATGCAAACATAAACCCTGTCACTTTACAGTTTTTCCCAATTGCTAAAACACAATTTTGCAAACTAGGCTGGTTTTATCAAAATACTTAACACAATTCACAAAACCACACACCCAAACTGCAAAATACCTCATATATCCTGCAAAATGAAACACTGCAACCAAAACTACATATAGCATTATCAATAATAATAATAATATGCCATTTAGCAGACGCTTTTATCCAAAGCGACTTACAGTCATGCGTGCATACATTTTTTGTGTATGGGTGGTCCCAGGGATCGAACCCACTACCTTGGCGTTACAAGCGCCGTGCTCTACCAGTTGAGCTACAGAGGACCACTAATCAAAAATCAAAAATCAAAAATCAAAATCAAACATTTGCACAAAATTGCACACCCTTCATTCATATTACCAGATTTTTGTCTAACCAACTACACACTGGTGGGCATAATGAAAATCACTCTCATCTTTAGTATGCTTTGCTATAATACTAAAATAGTTCAAATTGTAGAAAATTCTTCAGATTGTTCATATGCACAGAAGTATTTGCAGATACACACACATGCTGTTGAAACATTTATTATTTTATTTTTCACCAAACAAGTCAGTGCAACATATGCACAGCAGATATATTTACATTGGACTGAACAAAAATATGGTCACAAAAAACAGTAAACTGAAAAAGAAAATTGAAGAAAAAATTTGCAGAAAAAAAATATATATAAAAAAAAGAGGCAAGAAAAATAATTAGGCAGCATCTTGCCGCACAGCTGTGTCTGGCCACAACGCCTCGTCCACATCACAGGCAATATCTTCCCTTGCCAGACATCAAGGGAAGAAGCGCCTTGAGTGCCTTATCCATCCCTGAATCGCATCCACATCAATCTCATCACATGCTTCCTCTTCCATAGCCTGCACAAGAGGCATGCGCACAAAGGGCTGCCGGTCGTATACCTTCCACCGCCATGCCGAAAATAACTATTCTATGGGGTTCAGAAATGGTGAGTATGGTGGGAGGTATTGCACGAGAAATGGTGGGTGGTCAGCAAACCAGTTTTGGACTGGGGCTGCACGATGAAAGCTCACGTTGTCCCATACTACAACGTACCGGGTCCTTTGATGGTCTGCATCATTCATACGCTCTGGTGGTATGAGAATGTTGTGGAGTCTGTCCAGAAATGTGAGAATATGGGCTGTGTTGTATGGTCCAAGGTTGGCATGACGGTGGAGGACACCATGCGTATTGGAGATGGCAGCGCACATTGTGATGTTCCCACCACGTTGGCCAGGAACATCTATAATGGCTCTGTGGCCAATGACGTTTCTCCCCCTTCTTCTGGTCTTTGCTGAACCCAGCCTCATCTATAAAGATGAACTCATGTGGGATTGCATGAGCATCCATTTCCAGTACTCCCTGAAAACAAAGAACAAAAGCAGTCAATATGGTGTCATCCAGTACACTGGGAAACAATGTTGCGTGTAGTGTACTGCAGTCAATATTGTACTTACATCTACATATACTCGTCTGACCTCTTTGTTTCTTTGAGAGTTTCTCTCAAACGGCACCTTATAAAGTTGTTTCATTCTGATTTGGTTTCGCTTGATATTGCGAGCCAATGTGGACAGACTGACTCGTTGAATGTTGTTGAATATGGTGATGTCTTGGATGATGTGGCTTTGAATTTCTCGTAATCTGATATCATTATTTTCCAAAACCAAGTTTACAATGGCAGCTTCCTGTACCCCGGTGAACATTTGTCCCCTTCCTCCACCATGGTTGCGTCTCTCAGTCCTTTAGAAGAAAAAAAAAATATATATATATAGGGCTTGGACAATGCAGCCTAAAGATATTTCCCCCACAGTAGGGTAAATTGTACAGGACACTTGTGCAGTTAGTGTATGACATCAGCCATTCATGAAGTAAACATGTGTCACCCAGCTGATACACTATGACATGGGGTGTACTGCATAGTGTGAAAGAAATGTTGGTTACATACCTGTACTCCAGTCTAAATGTCCGGATGACACAGGCGACAGTAAAACGGCTCAAGTTGGGCTGCACTCTCTGTCCAGCCTCTCGCATTGTCAGCCCATGGTTGATGACATGACCAACTAAGGTTGCTCTGATTTCATTTGAAAGTTGTTGTCTTCTTTGGCCATGAACTCCTCTACCAGCTCTACCCCTACCTCTCACTCTTCCTCCCCCTATCATTCTCTCTCACCCTCCCTCTTCCTCTTCCTCTTCCTCTCTCTGCAACGTCTTCCATTGTTGTTGTAAAACAAAAGGTGCTCACCTGTGATCTTTTCATAGTGCTTACTTCCTGATTGAAGTGGTAACAATTAACCATTGAGGTTTTTGGCCAGGTGGCACATGTATTGGCCAATTAGCTCAAGTAGTGTCATTTTGAATGGCAGTGTTTTGAAATGGCAAAAATGTGACTTTATGTCAGATTGTTGTGTCTTATGCAGAGAACCGTGTGCAGTGCATTTAAAAAGTGCCATTTTGAATTGCAAAATGTGTGTAAAGCAGAAAATGTGTTTAGACTTTTGGAGACTTGAGAAGAGGTTTTGCTCTCTGTGTGTCAGTTTAAATAATTGTGCTGTGCATGTCATTTTAGTGTATTAGCAATTGGAAAAAACTGTAACTGTCACTTTTATAGTACATTTTTCTTAAGATGGGAAAACATGTGCGTTATGAAGTTGAACATGTGCTCTTTATGGCAGCATTTTAAAATTAGGTTAAATAAATAGTTATTTTTGACAAAATTACACTACCCAAAAGGTACTCTATTCGTAAAATGACACTTCACTTTCAGCAGGTATATATAAGTACTAGATCACATTGATTTAGGTTGTGTGCTGTTCTTACAAGTTGTGCGCTGTCCATACAAGTTGTGCACTGTCCTTACAAGTTGTGTGCTGTTCTTACAAGTTGTGCGCTGTCCTTACAGGTTGTGTGCTGTTCTTACAAGTTGTGTGCTGTTCTTACAAGTTGTGTGCTGTTCTTACAAGTTGTGTGCTGTTCTTACAAGTTGTGCACTGTCCTTACAAGTTGTGTGCTGTTCTTACAAGTTGTGCACTGTCCTTACAAGTTGTGCACTGTCCTTACAAGTTGTGCACTGTTCTTACAAGTTGTGTGCTGTTCTTACAAGTTGTGTGCTGTTCTTACAAGTTGTGTGCTGTTCTTACAAGTTGTGCACTGTCCTTACAAGTTGTGTGCTGTTCTTACAAGTTGTGCGCTGTTCTTACAAGTTGTGCGCTGTCCTTACAAGTTGTGCGCTGTTCTTACAAGTTGTGTGCTGTTCTTACAAGTTGTGCACTGTTCTTACAAGTTGTGTGCTGTTCTTACAAGTTGTGCACTGTCCTTACAAGTTGTGTGCTATCCTTACAAGTTGTGTGCTGTTCTTACAAGTTGTGTGCTGTTCTTACAAGTTGTGTGCTGTTCTTACAAGTTATGTGCTGGTTGGCTCGACACTGCTATGGATCCAATCCCACACACCCATACACCCACACACACACACAACCAAACACACACACCCACACACACATACCCACAAACACAAAACCACACACACACACACAACAACACACACGAACGCACCCACACCATCACACAAACACACACCCAAACACACACACCCACAAACACACAACCACACACACGCATGCACCTTCGCTATCACACAAACACGTACCCACGCTCACACATACATACATACCTCCTACGCCACCCATAGCAGGGCTAATCAATTCAAATTGGAACAGGCTTGGCTGCGCCTCCCACACTAGTGTATGTGTGTGGCTACAGCCAATGTTACACCATCTCCACCTAAAGACTGAAAGAGAGAAAGACTGTGTGTGTGTGAGTGCAGAGTGTGAATTACAGGGGGGAGGTTGTATGGGTGTGTGTGTGAGTGAGTGAGTGAGTGAGTGAGTGAGTGAGTGAGTGAGTGAGTGAGTGAGAGAGAGAGAGAGAGAGAGAGAGAGAGAGAGAGAGAGAGAGAGAGAGAGAGAGAGAGAGAGACAGGAAGGAGGAAAGAAAGAGCGTTTCTAGCGAAAGAACGGGAGAGATAGTTTAGAATATGAGAAAAAGGAGAAGGGGGAAGTATAAGAGAAAGACTCTCAGTCCACATGCTTACAAGCTTCATCTGTGGTAATGATATCATAATATAAGTGGCTTGAAAGGGTCCTTGGAGCTGGAGGAGACCAGTGAAAAGACAAGTGAAGACTTTCTCTCTGTGACAGCGTTGTAAACCCTCTGATAGATTGTTAGGATGTTGTTCCCTTAACGAGGATATTAACCTGAGACAGCTGATCAATGCCTAGTGATTAGAACTGATTGATCAGGTCGCCACGGTGATCGAAGAGTCGCTTTAATCCCTCATATTCCCATCCAATCAACTGAAAGAGAGCGAGAGAGAGATAGAAAGGGAGGATGGAGGGGGGGAGAGAAAGGAGAAGGAGAGAGAGAGGGGGGGAAGAGAGAGAGAGAGGGGGGGGGAAGAGAGAGAGAGAGAGGTGGTGGGGAGAGAGAAAGGGGGAGACATAGTGAACATAGCTGTGTAATTGTGGGACTGGAGAGGTAGATACCAAGGGCCATTCTCTTCTCTCTCTCTCTCTCTCTCTCTCTCTCTCTCTCTCTCTCTCTCATTACATCTGGAAGTCTGTCATACCTAATTCAAAATCTAAATTCTACAATATGTGTTTACTGGTTGCAATCCAGGTTAGCTGGTCTGGTCTAACATATAGGTAATGCCCCCTAGAGGGCCTAATGGGCATAACCAAGCTCACACAAACACACACCCTTAGAAAACACAAAATGACACACAGACTGAGTCATCATTGAGGTAAAAGCTGACACAAAACATAGCGCACACACACACTGGTTGGAGAGCAGGGGTGTATATAAGGGGTGTCTCTCTCTCTGAGCGGAGAAGTCCCTTCATCCCTCTCTCACTCACTCCTCCAACACAAGGACTCTCTCTCTTTCCTCAAGGTAAGAACAGAAATTCTTCCTTTTTTCTCTCGCTCTATGAGTGTTTTTCTCTCTATTTCTCTACTTATCAAACCTTTATTCAGTTCATTGAGAACAAATGAATTACCTAATTGGATGTAGTTGTTCTTGAGTCAGGTATAAGAACAAGAAATCTGGAGAACAATCTTTTAATGTAATTAAAATGCTATATTTTCTTGTTAGGTTGTAATAATAATAATATAATATGCCATTTAGCAGACGCTTTTATCCAAAGCGACTTACAGTCATGTGTGCATACATTTTTATGTATGGGTGGTCCCAGGGATCAAACCCACTACCCTGGTGTTACAAGCGCCATGCTCTACCAATCGAGCTACAGAGGACCACAGTTGTGTTTGATCAAGTAGATCAATTATGTAGCTTGGACTGCCGTGTGTGTAATGAGTGATCTGTTGAAGTGTATGTGAATGATCGGTTGAAGTGCATCAGCTTAAGTGTAGGTTTAAGTGATGGGAACAACTGACAGTGACCTCACTGGTCTCCCCATAGACCACATTACAGACTGCTGACATTTATCAGTCATTCAGATGGACAATTAATGTGCCATACTTAACTTTGTGTCATTTTGTCTTTTAGGGTAAAATATGTCAGATTTTCCAAAGATCACTTTAGTCTCCATTATATTCTATTCTGGTATATTCTATTGTAGCATATTTTATTTTGACTAATAATCAGTAATTCAGTAATATTCTGACTCAATGAGTGAAGAGATCTCTGAGGGGAGGGAAGAGAAAGAAAGATCAGGAGTGAAAGAGAAGGAAAATGATTTTTGCGGTTTTGCTAAGTATCTCCAGAACAATGCAATGACCTTATCACATCACTAATGCCTCTTTTGGATAAACAAGTCAACACTTACAGTAAATGAGTTAAGTGGTAGCTTGGTTTTTCCCGGAGCAGCGCTGAACATAGCAGACAGAAGAAAGAAGCAGTTTACACCTTTATGTCACAGTCCTCTCCACTCCTCTCACCGCTACCCCTCTTCCGCTCTCTCTCCCCTAGATGACTGCGGGGTTGTGTGTGTGTGTTCTGTTGGTGGTCCTGTCCACTGGCTGTTTGGGACGACCCCAGTCCTCTCCCCCCCTCCAAGAGGGCCGCCCTGCCATGCTCCCTTCTTCTGAAGGTAAGAACAGGGAGATGTACCACATCTGGATGTCAAATACATTTCTATCAAATACCTTCAAATACCTGAGCTGCGCTTGATTCATCTTTCCTGGTACAATGGAACCGATGAATACATTTTTGTTCAAACTGGTGTCCTGATGATATGATTAATGTTTATGCTTTTTATGGCAATCCTTGGGCTCTAGAAAGAGGCAATAGCAATAAAAGATTATATCCATTATATTATCATAATTTTTGTAGCTATGTCATTGAATTGCACCAACCCAAGACAGTAGACAAAAGCTAACAAGGTGTTTCGTATTCCCTTTGATAGCACGTCTTGAAGCCAACGCCCACTACCTCTCCGAGCCACGCCTCAGACAGACACGCTCCGCCCCTTTGGACAATACCATCCCATATACGGTAGAAGAAGGTGGAGACTCCAGAGCCAACCTCAGTGAATTGTTGGCTAGACTCATCTCCTCACGGAAAGGTGGGTGAGTGAGTGAGTGAGTGAGTGAGTGAGTGAGTGAGTGAGTGAGTGAGTGAGTGAGTGAGTGAGTGAGTGAGTGAGTGAGTGAGTGAGTGAGTGAGTGAGTGAGTGAGTGAGTGAGTGAGTGAGTGAGTGAGTGAGTGAGTGAGTGAGTGTGTGAGTGAGTGAGTGAGTGGTGGTGTGTGTGTGTGTGTGTGTGTGTGTGTGTGTGTGTGAGAGAGAGAGAGAAAGAGAGAGAGAGACAGGCAGGAGAGAGAGAGGCATGAGGGAGGGAGTGGAAAGAGAGAGATGAGGTAGAGAGAGAAGAGAGGGAGAATGATAGAAGATATGAGGGAGAGAGAGAAGAGAGAGACAAAAGGGAGAGAGAGAGAGAAGCGAGAAAATATGAATAAAGCTCACATTGTTCTCTTCAAGTAATTTTTAGAACCTCTCCCTCTCTCGTTCACTCTGATCGCTATTAAAGTGAGAGTGTGTTGTTTGGTCTAAATGGCTTGTGGTTTTGAAAAGCTTTCGTGGTTTGTACATGGAAGTGTGTGTGTGTATATCTTTCTGGTCTTTGGCTTTCGTTCCATCTCCTTAAATGTCTCTGCTTTGTCAGTGACAGGATCTATAAAGACACTTGTTCTGTGACAGGATCAGGGGAGATCTCAGTCGGGGCTTTTACACTAGTTGACAACAACTGTAGAGATATTCTGTCCGAGCTTTAGATATTCTGTCTGCGTTAGTGTGATGTTATACACACACGCACACACATACACAGACACACACACACACCTCCGTTCAGAAGATAACAGACAGAGAACAGCATGATAAAGACGTGAACGGATAGTACCATGGGGCTACTGAAGATAGCGTTGGTGTCATCACAGTCTATCTAATGAGTTAGTTTTGGCATGTATTCTGTAAGAGGTGCCGTTATACTCAAGCGGTAGAACATTGTAAGTGCCCACTTCAACAACTACTTATGATAAAGTTCACAAAACAATCCGAATTTACTACTTCCATCTGAGATAAATATATAAGTGCTGAGTTCAAGTGTTAAACTCATGGGTTATAGGTCCAATGCAGCCATTTTATCTCAATGTCAAATCATTTCTGGGTAACAATTAAGCACCTTACTGTGATTGTCTTCAATAGAATAGAATAGCTTCTTAGCAAAGGGCAATTTCTCAAGCAAGAATTTAGCTGGGACTGTTTGGATTGGTCTGAGTGGGGAGGGGGAAACAGAAAATTAGCTGTTATTGACAGAGAGGTTTGGAACACTTTCTCATTGGTCTATTAACTAATTTACTACATTACGATGTCACCTAGCCTGATGACTCACACTAAATTCTTCCGCTGCTCTGTCGTTCGCTACATGCTTTAGTCTGAGACCGCCATCATTGAAGTCGTTTGTGGTGAAGAGGGGCGTTGTACAAAACAAAGTCATCATCGATTGGATTGTCTTTAACCCATCAGTGTATCAAAGCCTATGACCAATTTTCAAACCCCCGCTTTATCCCCGTGTGTTCTGGCTCTGGCCCAACCCATTGGTTTCTGGACCAATCACACGGCCCCAAATGTGTTCGCATTCGGTGAAGGGTCGGGGAGGAACTCAGATCCAGACACATTGCGAAGAAGAAACTAAAGTCTGTGGGCGTGGCGTAGCATTTGGCCGGAGCAAGGAGTCTGGGTAGCCAGGCAATATGTCAACATTGAAGGCCAAAACTCCATCACACCAAAACAAGCTGACATTTCTGGCGACCTTTTCAAACAGCTCTTACACTGAAAGGGTATTATCATAATTTTCACAATTTCACAATATTATTCCAACCTCATAGTGTGTAAATATATATAAAACACAGGAAAATCTAGTTTTTGACAGCACTGGGCCTTTAATGCAACATGCCAGAAATTCTAACTTTATTGCTTCAAAAGTTCATGTTCACAGTTTGTACCATGAAATCACGACCTACACAGCTAGTCTGTTATTATGTGCATCACTCTACGGTGTCAATGAGACAGAGACAGGGGGAAGGGTCAGAGAAACAGATGTAAAGCAAAAGAGAGAGAGGGAATACAACAAGTCAGAAAAATTGAGAGGGAGAAAGAGGGGTTTAATATTGCAGCTCTGAACCCAAATAAGTATTTAACATTTTAGTAATTTAGCAGATGCTCTTATCCAGAGCAATTTACAGTTAGTGAGTGCACATATATATTTTTTTCATACTGGCCCCCCGTGGGAAACGAACCCACAACCCTGGCGTAGCAAACACCATGCTCTACCAACTGAGCTACAGGGGACTATAGTAAAGGCTGTTATTCATTATATCACCAGACGGAGGGTTGGGCTTAGAACACTGGCCTCTGACACACATGCACATGCACAGGCACAAACACACACACACACACACACACACACACACACACACACACAGAGAGAGATCATTCTGAGACCTGTGAAGTGTCTTGGCTCACAGGGAGTATGTGAGGGACTCGCTGTAACACGCTTGACAGTTACACCTCCTACAATGACAATGTGTGTGTGTGCGTGTGTGTGTGTGTGTGTGTGTGTGTGTGTATGTGTGTGTGTATGTGGGTGGCATGGGAGGAGTGTTAAAAGCTCCCCAGTGACACGAACACCATCAATATTACCATAGTTCACACGCCAGTCAAACAACCACGATCAGATATCTCCAGTGTTAGCCATGTCTTATGTTAACTAATCTCTATCTGGTTAATTCCTTAGCTAATAAATCACATTCCCACAGCCCTTCTGTTGATATAGTATGTCTCTGCATGCGTGTGGGGCAGCCAAATTGTTTAACCCGTCACAAAGACTCACACCAGTAGAAGAGAAACAGGTGTTATAGCTCTCTCTTCTTTCCTCCCTCCCTCTAGGTTCTATCCGTAAGAACTCGACAGTGAACAGCAGAGCTAGCGGTCTCAGTGCTAACCACCGGATAAAAGACCGGGACTACAACGGGTGGATGGACTTCGGCCGCCGCAGCGCAGAAGAGTACGAGTACTCCTTGTAAAAAAGTAGTCCCTCTCTCCGAGAAAACAACAAACTCAGTTACTGTCCCGCGATAACAGTATATTTATTCTGTATTGATGTACATTTGTTTGTAAACACTACATGATGCAATATATACATATGCCACATTTTGCAGAAAATCTTTAAAGTTCTGGTTTTCTTTCCTGGTTTTCTGTCTGTTTTTGGTTTTGGAGGGAATTGAACGGAATGAAAAAAGGTGTTAATGGTAAAATATATATGATGTCATGAGATGAACTTGGATCAATAAAAGTTAAGAATGAACAGTATCTCAACAAAATGAGTTGACACGCACACCCACATAAGCATGCACGCACAGATAACAACTCACACAAACGACATAATACACTCATGGTATCACCTTAAGATGTTAAAGTAGAAATGTAAATAGTGAGCAGTGGCCCATTATAATGCATAAAGCTGGTAGAATGCAGAGCTCGATTCCTCTAGGACCCCAGTCCTGCTGCTTTTCAGTGCTCTTAATTAACCAATTAATAGAATTTATTGATTTATAAAGTGCAATGATTGGTCAGAGTGCACACACCTGGTTTCCCAGGTCTGAATCAGTCTTTGATTAAAAGGCAAGGATGAAAACTAGCAGACACTTCAGCTGTGCCCCCTTTACTTACAAACATGTCATTTGTGAACAACAGTACTGCCTGACATAACTGCTTTGCTCCAACAACCCACTCGGAATAGACTTCAACATCATGTTGTGATTCATATGTATTTTGTTGACCAACATCATTCAATGGCAGATATATCAAACATCAAGCCCAGTTACTGAAATTGAAGTTGAAATTATTTAGGGAAATGTACATCTTGATGTGTTACCAATCTAATTTGTTTTTAATTAATTACTTAAGTTGACAAAATGTTTAAATAACATGAAAACAACATTAGGGTTAACCTGTTTGTGCCTGATGGGAATGTACACAATGGGGCCTACATACTAAACTGAAAATGAAATACAGTGTTTTGAGATACAGTATCTTGGGATCGACTACAGAGAAGTGTTTTATTACTTGATGTGAATATCATACCATGAATCAAAGATGAGAAAACACAGGAATCTGGAAAATACCCAAATCATAAAATAGGCTTGATTTTGTGTTCTGCTTGGTTTGTGTTCTGTCTGTTTTGTTTCTCTCTACCTGCTGAAATAAAGACTGTTGGAGATACAGACTGTAAAGTGACTGGAACACTGGCATTCTAACTGGTGGAAATAAAGAAATGACAGCAGTGTAAAGAGATACTGCTCATTCATCTCCTAATAAATAAACCAATTAATAACCAAATCACATCATCGATAACCCAATCACATCATTAATAACCCAATCACATAATTGATAAGGCGATCGACAGACAATCTCATGAGCACACTAAAGATAGAATGGGTAAATATTGACAGAGCTGTGACAGAGAATAACCCAATCACATCATCAATAAGACAATCGCCAGACTATCTCCTGAGCACACTAAACACAGAACGGGTAAACATTGACAGAGCTGTGACAGAGAACAGGTAAATATTAGGTAAATATTGACAGACCTGTGGGAATGAAGAGAAATGGACAGAGATTAAATGTGAAGAACATATTCACTTATTCACCTCAGAACAGAGAGCAGTGCATGACAAGTAGAAGAAGAGACAGAAATACAGCACGTCATTGCTATAATGAATATTCAGCAATGGGTGCTATAGGCCAGACGTTCCCAAACTTTTTTGCTTCCTGACCCACCAATTGAGATGTCTTTTGAATCGCGACCCACCATAAGGGTTGAGCGGTGAAAAAACACACAGACCAAAGAATAAGTACAAAATATTATCTTGTCAGCGGAGAGAACATTTTGCCCTTTCAAAGCTAATCTCCTGCAATCCCACACATCCTGCCATGGAGATGGAGAACATTTTGCAGTTTTAAAGATAATTTCATAAAATTCTACGCATTTTGACATGGCTAATGCTATGCTCAAACATAACAAAATCAATGGAGGCCTGATTGTCTAGCTGCTATTTTTGTTGATTGTAAATGCTCAAAGATTATAGGCTATTATTGAAAAATAAATAGGTCCATTATCTTTTCTATATAGTTTCTATTTGGTTTTAGTCGTTTAAGTTTACACTGAAAGTGTTTTTCTATCCTGAAAATGTATATATAAAAACATGTGGGCAATGTCATCCCACAACCAACCTGGACACCTGCTGCGACCCACAAGTGGGTCCAGGCCCACAGTTTGGGAACCACTGCTATGCCTACATTGGTGGTACATGGAGTGTGATTAAATGCTTCAGTGAAAATGGTTCAGATGTCCTAGAGAGAATTTCAGAGAAGGGCATTTCCATGTAAAGAGCCCTATGAGCATTAATGTGAAGTTCATAAGAGCATATTACATTTGGTGTCAGATGAAAGCTAAGAGTCCGTTTTTTAAGTTTTTTATCAAGACATAGACGCTTGTCTATTTTCCATCCTAAAAATGTGGAATAGGCAAAGGCTTTGATATCTGGTCAAACCGATGGAAAAGGGGTATTAGAAAACATCTAGCAGCAAAATACTTAAGGTATTAGAAATACATAAAAACACAATTTTGAAGTAAATACACCTGCCAACTAATATCAACATTTTTATTTAGTTTTGCAAAAAATATTTTCCTTCTGTCAGTTTAAGAAATATTGCATATTGTCTTTTCATTCTGTTACCAAAACATCTTTAATATATTTTCGAATTTCTCTCCCTCATGAGGGAGGATAATGAAAGTTCACAGAAGTAACAAGTAAAGGTAGACCTACCAATTAGTTATAGTGTTTTTACTGATAATAATTAGGTTTATGATTTATTAAGTGGTTAAAGTGTTACCAAATTGGTAATAGAATGACCAACAATATCCGTAACAGAATGACTGCAACTGAATTGGCTACAATGGGAATTCATAGAGGTCACAAACCACAGTTGGGTCACTGGAATACTGTTATGTTCAGCTCATAACTGTTTCCTTTCTCTTTCTATCGCATGGTCAAAGCAAGCGTGTGAAAACAGTCTGGACAACCCCTCCCTTTCTCTCTCCCTGTCTCTCTTCTCTCTCTCTTCAGTTAATGTCACCTCTCCCATCTCTTACTGACACCTACCCATGAGCCCCCTCTCTATCCATTTACTTTAACCAGCCCTCTCACCCACTGAGCACTGACCGACACCAGACGTCCATGGACGTTGAAAGTTGTTGAAATGTGGTCAGTCCAAATCTTAACCAATCACTGATCGGTCTGTTTCACAAGTTTGGACAGCACAGTACAGAACAGTAAAGAACAGAAGAGTATAGTATAAGTCAGTACAATACAGTATAGTACTGTATAGTAGAGTAGAATTTAGTACACTAGAGTAGAATACAGTATAATTTACTGTATTGTGTACTATATTGTGCTGTACTGTACTCTACTGAACTATACTCTACTGTACTGTACTGTGATTTCCAAACTTTTGAGACATAGACATCTATAATTGTTACAGATTTGGTCCGGTCCAGACCTACCAACTTTGATCTTGTTTGGAAATTGTTTGCTTACAATTATAGCCAGTTTGTAGAATAATACCCAAACATGCAAAGGAGTATATTACATTTTTCTACCTAATTACATTCATAATTATGCATTTATGTATAGTACAGATCAGGGACCCATGATGTCATTCTGTTACCATCATTCTGTTACCGGGTGTTAATCCACTTCACTTACTGTAGTTCAATAACCAAAATAGATTTTTTCAAACTCAAGGTGTCATATCATAGCTGACACCCCATTCTTTCTGCAGACATCTTTGAATCTTAATTCGGAGTAGATATTTAGAGTTTTTGTAAAATGTGGTCACATTAAAACTGGGGGAAATTTTACCGTCATTCTGTTACCAAATTTTACATCTGCACTGTTATTCGAGTAAATGTGTTTTTGGAAAATAATTCAGTGGAAATTGTTTAAAATAGTCATTGTGTATGTACAGTATAGTGGGGTCCGAAATTATTGACACCCTTGATAAAGATATGCAATAATGACTGTATAAAATAAAAACGTTCTCAATCACGTTTTACAGCCTTCTAACCAATTGTACTATTATGTGTGTTTTTCCGCATTATTTGGAATTTATTCTGTACATAATGTTTCTGCCATCGTCTCTTATAACCAAAAAGAGCTTCTGGATATCAGGACAGCGATTACTCACCTCGCATTATTTGGAATTTATTCTGTACATAATGTTTCTGCCATCGTCTCTTATAACCAAAAAGAGCTTCTGGATATCAGGACAGCGATTACTCACCTCGTATTGGACAAAGATTCTTTCTTCAACAAGTCAGACACGAAGGATATCCTACAGACACCCGACAAGGCCCAAATCCCCGTCATTCGCATGAGAAAGAGACAGAGATATCGTGGACGTAGGTCGGGTGCCTTGTAAGGATCCGACGGCGAGTGAGTAAACTGCCTCTTCCATCAATCCTTTTAGCCAATGTTCAATCATTTGAGAATAAATTGGATGACCTAAGATTACGGTTATCCTACCAACGGGACATTAAAAACTGTAATATCTTATATTTCACCGAGTTGTGGCTGAACGACGACATGGACAACATACAGCTAGCGGGCTATACGCTACATCGGCAGGATAGAACGACTGACTCCGGTAAGACAAGGGGTGGCGGTCTGTGTATATTTGTAAACAACAGCTGGTGCACAAAATCAAATACTAAGGATTCTCGAGGTTTTGCTCGCCTGAGGTAGAGTATCTTATGATAAGCTGTAGACCACACTATTTACCAATAGAGTTTTCATCTATATTTTTCATGCTGTCTATTTACCACCACAAACCAATGCTGGCATTAAGATTGCACTGAATGAGCTGTATAAGGCCATAAGTGAACAGGAAAACGCTCATCCAGAGGCAGCGCTCCTAGTGGCCGGGGACTTTAATGCAGGGAAACTTAAATCCGTTCTACCTCATTTCTACCAGCATGTTAAATGTGCAACCAGAGGGAAAAAAACTCTAGACCACCTTTACTCCACACACAGAGACGCATACAAAGCTCTCCCTCGCCCTCCATTAGGCAAATCTGACCATAACTCTATCCTCCTGATTCCCGCTTATAAACAAAAACTAAAGCAGGAAGCACCAGTGACTCGGTTAATAAAAAAGTGGTCAGATGACGCAGATGCTAAGCTACAGGACTGTTTTGCTAGCACAGACTGGAACATGTTCCGGGATTCTTCAGATAGCATTGAGGAGTACACCACATCAGTCACTGGCTTATCAATAAGTGCATCGATGATGTCGTCCCCACAGTGACCGTATGTACATACCCCAACCAGACGCCATGGATTACAGGCAACATCCGCACTGAGCTAAAGGGTAGAGCTGCCACTTTCAAGGAGCGGGACTCTAACCCGGACGCTTATAAGAAATCCCGCTATGCCCTC